AACAAGGCTTTTAGAAGACATTTGTGCATCTAAACTGCATGCAGGGGTATGTATGACTACTTTGGAAAAATGATTGAAATGATCTCAAATGTTGCCCATTGCCTCATCTCTCCATTGCACCTCCCAAGTTTCATCATCTGTTTTTTTTCCTATGTCTTTTCTACACCATCTTTTTAGGTTAACTCTAGACAGTTCCAAGACTCCCATTTTACCTTCTCAGGGCTCAACAAAGCCAACTCTCAGGCTCTTAATATATCTATTCTCCTATCTTGTTTGGCGTGCTTGACTCCTCAGTAGGAAGCAGGAATTCCTTCCTGACCTCTTTCCCCAGGCTCTTTTCCCCATAGCATCACAGAATGRTCAGGGTTGGAAGACACCTCTGTAAATAGCCTGGTCCATTGCCCTTGCTCAAAGTAAGGTCTGCCAGAACAGGTTGCCCAGAGCCATGTCCAACAGGGCTGTGAATAACTCCAAGGATATCCTGAGGGTCTTCATAACTGGCTGCCGTTTAGACCAGTGATTACTGCTCTTAAAGAGCCCAGYCCACTTCTACCCATCTTCTCATCCACTTATTATGACCATATCTCATCAGTTTGACTGCACCTTTTACTCCAAATGTGGTTTAACTTCAACAACAGGCAACAATTTTTCTATTTGCAAACAATGAAGTTTTCAAAATGACTCGTTCCCCAATGCCCCAATCCTATGATAAAATCTGAACATGATGCACTGAAATCACTAGGGATTCCTCATGGCTGATGGAAAGTCTTAGGATAATAGGGTTCTTCAGGATCATTTGAAATAGCTGCTATCTAAATATAAATGTACTATCATTATTTCAATGGGCAATCACTGAAGTAAACAGCAACATTTCTATCAGTGTKAAGAGCTCCATCGCAGACAGGTGCACATATATTTGCATGCATCTGAAACACTGTGCATTGGCACACAGTTATGAATTTAGCCAGAAAGGGAGGATTTGCAGTATGCAGTTTTCAAACACTTCTATGCTATGTCTTAAATGCAGAGACAATTTTGTCCACACAGCAGTGTTAAGTATTAAAAATAAACTACTCCTGACTTATTCATACTGAAAACAGCAATCTAATAAGGTCTTAAAGTCTGAAAAGAATAGCTTTCTGTTCTGGCTAGTCTCAAAAATGAATTMCATTCATTAAACCCTTTGGGAATATCTGATGTTTGAATGCATGGATATTTTCAGGTTGAAGTTTCTATGTGAACACACTTTCTCTTCAAAAAAGTAGGAAAGGAAGAAGAAAAAAATAAGTCATTATCAGTAGGAAAAGCCAGAAAAGAGCATCTTGTTGCAACCTGTCTAGTCAAAGGCTATAGCTGCTTGCTATTAAGTATTTCAAAGGGACAACAAATGCACATGCAAGAAAATTGTTCCTACAAAACAAGAACAACCTTGAAAGTTAGTAAAGATATAATAATTATCAAAGCTCTCCAAAGAGATGGAGCTCTTTGGAGCTCACTGTTGTGATATGGTAGAAGYACACTATCAAGGCACCCTTCTACATACAGATCTTATAAAAACTGATTTTACAAAGTCATTCCCAGTAGGGGATGCTGCTGTTTAAATTTCTTTTATTCAAGCCAGCTCAGTTTGCCTTTGGAAATCCTCACTCTTACCCTAGTCTCTGTCCTCCAAGAGGTAACCCTCTGCTGAGCAGCAACATTGGTGCAATACAAAATGATGAAAACATCAGCAAACTCAGCTGATTGTGTCTACAAAGAGAAGGCAGCAGCACACGGGCAGGGAACGGACTGCCATATGGGCAGCCAGCACCACTGAACATGCTCGTTTGCATCGGTGCCACCRTGAAGCATGCACAAAGGCTGGATGTGCTCTGAAGGCCATGAGAAATATCCTTCTCAGACCCTGGGGAGATGGTTTGAGCCACCAAGAGTGGTGATATTTAAAACCAACAAAAAAACTAAAAAAAGGAGGGAGGAGCTATAAACTCAACTATTGTTAAGTATTATTGAGTATGTAAGCAGTTTTTTTTAAATCAGATGAGATAAAGAGCTGTTAAATAGCTTTCTCAAGAGTTCTGTAACATGCTYATCTTTATGAACCCATGAACTTTCCATAAATGCATAGTGAGAAAGGCAATAGGTAGGAGGGAAAGAAACTTTGAATGGTATTTAGTCTCAACTTTCGTAGAGTACAAAACTCAAGCTTCTAGACCAAACAGGAATGAGGTTATGCCTGCATTTTTTCCTACAGTCCCAAAGCTCCTGTTAGGGATCTAACAATTTTTTTTTTTTTTTTTTTTTAATAATATTCCTGCTTGTAGGTGAAACTAGATTAGCTCATAAATTGCAAATAGGGAATGAAGCTCCTAAGTTATTTGCATTTATGTTCAGCCCTTAAGGGACTTGCCAATACCAAATGCTATAAAACACATCATCATTGTGTCTAAAAAAGTGCTGCCTTGTCATCAGTGATAAAAGACAAGATCATCATTCCCTAATTATATATATTTCTCAGGTGAAAACCAGTAGATTCTAGCTGCAAACCGCAGATCAAATTTTCAAATTGAATGACATATAATTTTAAAAAACATATATGTTTCTTAATTTTGCCTTATGAATAAAGCTGGCGAAGTGCTGCAGAGATTATTTTGAATTTGTAGACTGAATAAAAAAATTTATATAGATTTGCACTAAAGTAGGAATAAAAATAATGAGAGCAATACAAATACAAAGCAAGACAAAGATGCACAGAAATCTTAAGATAAAACTGATTTATAATCAAGAATTATTGGGCCTTTAATAAAGCTTTTCTAGCTATCTATGGAAAAAATGGAAAAATAGAAATATTTCATGGATCATTTTTGAATTGTATTAAAATCAAATTTACCTGATTTTAAAAACAACAACTAAATGCTAATTTTCCCATCAAATATATTTTATCATTTGATTTTGGTAAAAATACTTMATCTTAATAAAGAACAACACTAAAAAAAGCTATAATTTCAAAAATTAAAACAAATTTTCTCTGCAACAGAAATAATAAATGTCAGCCTTCTCTTCTAAACTAGCATATTTTTTAAATATATTAGAACTCCTCATAGAAAGGAATTTCTCATTTGCATTATGTATATTCATCAAAACAAAAGCCACTACAGCAGAATTTTCCTAAAACTTTGCAGCACTCTTGATGTGCCTGTGCATTGACTAAATAGCACCCAGGAGATAAAACTCAATTTTTCCTCATATTTGTATTTTACACTGCAATTTAATTAAAACCCAACAATCATAGCATAAGACCAGACCTTGCTACCATAATATCAAAGATCAAACATGAATTGGCTTGACTGGGGACAGGATCAGAGCTCGGGGCAGCCAGCTGGTRCATTCCCAGAAATATAGAATAAAATGCCTTCAAACTGTTTGTATCCATGGTAGTTGAGATCTGGCCTCACTTTCCACAGACACTCAGTCCCAGGGGAGAAAAAGTTAACAAGAAACATCATACTTAACATTTTCATTACTCTTTTGATTAGAAGATATGCCTTAATAATGCTTTTTACACAATTAAATGTTTCAGCTTACTATATATTATAAACATGTCATCYTAGATTAGAGTTATTATAGCTATTAAGACTTTCAAAAGCATTATGCAAATTCTGTTTCAACTACAATACTATTTCATACAACCAGCAGCTAAGAAAGATGAGATTAGTTTAGCTATAAGAACACAACTTTCTTTTATTATTTTTATGTGACACACAGCATAACATATGTTCTATTCTTAGTTCAGACATCAATTTTTTAATCAAGCCTAAGACATCTGCAGTAAACAAGCTTCCTATCAAGCAGTACTTTTTGAGATAGCATGAGAACTTGTATTCAAATCCTGAGCATTCCCTAGTTAATTATGTAAATAATAAATGTAGCATTGTCTTGTAAACCATACAAACAATTTTGCTGCTCCTTCTCAGTACTTGACTTTTAATAGTCCTGTAATCCAAACACTTTCAGGCCGTCCATCTGGAGTAYGCACGCAGTCAGATAAAACTATTTACTTGCTTTTAAAGGGCAGCAGACACACTGTGCTTTTTTCCTGCATTACTGTGCTTATTTTATGCAGACCTATTGCCCTGGCTTAAGGTGTTTGGAGACCCTGACTCTGAGGAAACCAGGCAGAAATTTTTCMATGTTCACTAAATGCCAGTCAGTACCCTTCAGGAGTCACTAAACCCTTGGCAATAGAGGGACCTACCCCAAACCTTGTGCTACTGTCAGAAAAATCAACACCCCGCAGACTTAATGAGGCTCAGATAAAAGTCTACTGCCCCACTGATGGGTTTTTATCTCTATTGTGAGCAAACATACCACATGTACTGACCTCATTAATATTGTTTACATAATTGTTGGAATACACATTTATAATGATCATAAGCTTCCATAATGCAAAATTCCACCTGAAGATATAYACATTGCCTTACCTGTGCAAAAAACATTTTGCTTCTCAGTGGATCAATGGCTTGCTAATAATTTAGGTAAGTATGGAAGCCCTCCCTGGTTTACCAAAGGGATATTACCATCTCCAAAATAGTGAGGAACATCAATCATCTGAGGGCACTAGGTACAGATACACAAGCCAGGCCAACCCAATTTGATGATTAAGTGATTCTGAAAGAGGTGATCCCATTCCTGGTGGCTGCTACCCCTCTCTCACTGCTGCCGGCTACCTGAGGCATTTAGTAGGGCCACTTCCCGTCTTTAAACATGCAGAAGACAAAGTCCTAAAAGTGAAGAGTTTGCCATTAGGAGTAAACAGAATGGAAACTTTTTTTTGCTGAGAATACATACATAAAAAGTTTAGTTTTCTTCCCTTTATTCACTCACATTTTCAYGAACTTTTATTTCCAGAAACCTGAATAAAAAAATTGAGGATTTATACCAAATTTTGTTCCYACCTCACCCTGGTTTCAGACAACGATGTTTTCAAAGTAGCTGTTCTAACCTCCAGGCACGTTGTCTTTATAGGCATGGCCATCCTCAGAGCTGAGGCAGCCAAACACTCCTGTCTTCTGGCAATTTGTGCTTGGAGCAGAGCAAGCGGGTGCCTAGGGCAGAGCAGTAACAAGCAGGTTTGAACCCTAAAGGCTTCAGAAAAAAAAAGTGACAATTTTTACATTTTGAGACACTTCCATAAGGAAGTTTGCCCTGCTGTTGAAAATCTTAAAGGAGATTATTTGTCATTCCGAGCGCATAAATGGACACTCTGGTTCATTTCCAGTACCAAGAAAGATTTGCTTCTGCTTGGAAAGAAGAGAAGAATACTCCATTTCTATATTTGTGGACATTTCATTCTGAAAAAATGAAATATCTCTCTCATTTTTTTTTTAAATTCTTTCCAGCATTCAAAGGCAACYGTTAAGGCAGAAAACAAAGGATATGTAATTTTCACTCAACTTTTCAACTTTCTCCCTRATTTAAAAGGGATTTACTGAATAAAATTCCTTCAGCCTCCAGCTCTACCTTCTAAATCTTCTGGTGGGCTCTCTGATGTTTTTGTCACAATGTGGATGCATTTCCTAAGTCAAAAACTACTCATTTAGACTTGTGAAAGCTTCTTGACAATCTCCACTTGTGCACCTGTTGAAGACCAGGGTCCCTGTTTCGCTAAGGAGACTCTCCAAATGCACACTGAGCAGTAAGCAAGAGACAGATGAGTGCCAGCCCATGCAGGGCTAGCTAAACACACTCCTTTATCTGCCAGAGGATGGGGATCCTAGCATCCTGTTTTATAAAATGCTATTATCYGCTGTGCTCGGAGGCAGCAATGGTAGTACACTTCAGCTTCTCAGGACATCACAATCCAAGCTCACAGCCCTCCGTCCAGTCCAAAAGAGAAGATGAATTTTTGTTGTCTGTCTCAACCGCAGCTATGACCTTACCTGGTAGTATTACCTGGTTTTGCCTTTTAGCACAGATGCTGTCTCAAAATAGCACACATAGAGAGTTCAGCTCCAGGTCAACAGAATTATTTCTGCTCTGATAAAAGACTGGTACTCCTAAATCTAAGATTTTATGACAGCGTGTGTGATTCTAGATACTTCAGGGAATGTGTTTTGCTAGAACAGAGACTGTGATTTGCAGCAGCGGTCACTATGTAGCATCACTGTTCCTAGCTTAGGTCTGCATGTTTTGGTACTTTCTTCAGCAGAGAGACTACTTATTGATTCATTCTATAACTTCRTCAGCTGCAGAAGGGAAATATCAGGTTGGTTAAAGGGATGTTTCTCAGAGCCATGACAGTAAAGGGCTTCATGCTGTTGCCACTGCTGCACCCAGCTCTTGTGCTGCCAATTCAGTTGTCCTAACACGGACGTGCTAGGTTGTCCGGTCCCTGTACAGCAGCACTCACATGCACTCTCCAGCGTGTGCAGCTCCTCACACAGCAGCAGACTGATGACTGCATTTTTAGCAAAACAGAAACAGCTAGAGATCTGCAGCCTAGGAGCAGCTAAGCTAACGGGCATGAAGGCTTTACTTACACATGCCAGTACATGACGACTTCACACACCCCATAACTACTCACATAACTTGGGCTTTTACGACTCTTTTTGCCTGCTCTGAAGACTCTGAAATATTCTGCAAAGCAATGTTGTTGAACAAATCTATTGAAACCATAGAAAACACCAGCAGTGCAAAGGTTAACTGGACTTCCTGCCTTCTGCCTTCCCTTGGGAACRTGCTGTTTTACAAGGTGCTTTCTCCATGACTTTTTCCTGCATGTTTTATATTGACTGATGTCATCATCCTTTGGGATGTACCTGCACAGATAATACCTGCATCCTTCTCTGTACCTGCACRGATAATAAAACAGCAGTAAAGCTTCCAGTTTCAGATTGGAAAGGGTCCAAAATCCAGTAGGTTACTTAGCTGTCCTTATCAGGAGGTGGCCTGGATACTCATAGCTGCAGCTGAGTTACTGAGTTATAACAGTAAGGCTTATAATTCATCCTTTCAAGAAGTTTACATCAGGCTTTTAAAATTTTTCAGGTTCATCCTTGTCTGAACTAACTGCTATTATTGATTAGCTAACTTGTTTATTCTTCTTCAGAAACTAAAATAAGTATGAGGCAGTTCAATAAAAAAGCAATTTCATGCTATGATAACATTGCAAATAAGAAAAAAAATATCTAGTTAGGTGTGTGTCTGTGAGAAAAGGTATCTTAACAGCCACAAGACACAAATACATCAAATAGCAAATCTATCTATTCTTGGCTTGTCATGCAAGCTCACACCTAAAGAAAGAGAGTGTAAATTTATTAATGTGAGAACTGCATTGCTAACACCAGATCTGAATTCACACAACAATTTCACTTAACATTTCATGAGTTTATGCCCAGAAATGGAAAGAAAAATAAGAGCTTTTCCAAACCTCTGTTTGCCAGGAATACAGGAGATGTTTTTTCTGTACCACACTAATAACAAAAGATTTTTCAATTAATAATTGCTGCAATGCTGCATCAATTCAATGTTAATAATATTAATGAAACAGAATTGAAGGAAATAAGTGGAGGTCGTGGATCAAAATGTTGTTCATGGGATGCATGTCTCACAGGCTAAAGTAGCCAAGCTTCAACAATTTTCCTTCTTGTACACCATAGACTATCAAGCATCGAGTTTGGTGTCCAAACCTGGACACAGCCTTCTAATTCATAACTCGGAAAAAAAATAAACGTCGTGGAGTTACTACTCTGTAGGTTATACTCTTTCATACAGATTACAGTATACAATTTATCATACTTATAAAAGGATAATACTGACAATTCCAATTTAAGTCATGATCAATTACTGCTATGAGAATTTATGGCAAATTTTGTATCTTTTCCTTCCCATCCTTCCACAGCTGGCTGTTCTTACTTACATGGAATATCCCATACTTATCTGTACTGAAATAACTTTATGAAAAGATTTGATCATATGCCAAGATTATACTAGAAGTTAAACCCCTCCTAAAACATTTTCACATATTTCCTAGAATGGTGTCAGCTGCACCTGTAAGAAGTGTACTTTATTTAATCAGTCAATTAATTGCCTAATTAAAGTAAGGGAGATAACCGTCATACATGATTCCAAAACATTATCCTCTCCATGATTCACCGAAGTAATTTATGTGCTCTTGAGCCATTTCTTGAATTTGCAATTTGGCAATAAAGCTGTCACAAGGTTTCAAACATAAAATGGTAACTCGGCATTGGACTTCAGTTTTGCTATTTTGTGCTTTCACCTTGTTCTGTATTGTATTAGGGGCCTAATTTCTATTATTCAGTGTGGGCTCTTTTGCTTTCTTTTCACACTGAATTCAGATTTGTTCTTTACATTGTTAGATAGTCACCATTATAATTAATGGCATAAAGCACATGTGCTGAATGAGGCCCCAAAATTTATTAAAGTTATTCCTTCCTTCACTCTAATAAAAAAACAACCTTGTGCCAAATTAGTCAGGAAAAAATACAAGTACACTGAGATTTACGGTAAGAATGTGGTCTAAACTGGGATCTTGCATCACTAGTCTGATCTCCTGTGCTGGATTTGCAGTCCCTTAATACATGTCCATCAACTGGACTAGCAGCTTTTCACTAGGTTTGCGCTCGACCTCTTTATCAGTAACGTCATAAAACATTTGGCACAGAAAGTTGATGCACAGATGACAGAAAGCATAAAAAACTGCTGGGGGTATCATCTTCTGTGCCAACTGGGTTTCTTAAAAACAAAGATCCTTCTACAAGTATGTGTCCTAAAACAGGTTTGTAATGGGTATGCAAAATTAAGTTTTTAGGTTTTCATGAAAATGGAAAGATGAATAAAATACAGTGGAGTTTAAAAAAGAATAAATAAAAGTCAAGAAGCACAACAAGTCAGCAATTTTCAGGAAAGATTGCCAGGTTAAAGTGGCATTTGCGGTAGGGAGGGAAGATTTTTTATAAAGGTCCCTTTTTATTATAAAACCTTACAGCCATATTCCTTAGGAAAGAAAAATGTAATAAAAGAAAAGAACCAATAACAGAGCATACACTGCCTTCCCTGGCAAATATGAGTTCATGCCCCCATCTATCTTTATGCATCTACAGAACTTTATTTGCATGGACTTTTACTAGCTAAGAAATAGAGATTTATAAGAAAAGTTGCCTCCCAAAGAATATTACAGTTGTATTTCTTCATAAGTGCATAGATAATTTTTGCTTTGTTGTTCCTGAACAAAAAAGGAGCTAGGCAAACTGGATAGACTAGCATAGACCGGACGTATCCTATCAATATGATTCCCAAAGCAGTGAAAATTTTTCAAAAGGGTAGTAAGGAAAAAGATAGAAAGAACCACCAAAATATTTAATAAAAGCCACTATCAATCTTTAGAATAGCAAGTTTGCAGGGAAAAAAATACTCAAGAGAGTATGAGCTTTATCTTTGTTTTTATAGTTTGCCTGCTTGTTTTAAAAGGAATAATTTCTGTTTTCTGATTATAGACCTTTAATACATCCAGGCTGAGTCCTCTCAAAACATGCATCTGAACTGTTTTTTTTATATTTTGCCTTTCAGGGAATATGTACAGCCTCTGAGATCTCTCTCTCTCTCCCCCACAATCTGCTTCCCAACAACAACATAATCCAAGACTGAATTTCTGAACTCAACATTCAGGTAAGTCCAAAACACATAATGACCCCTAAGAGCATCCCGACTTTTTAGTTACGTAATATTTGGTTCCCTTGCCTCTTGACAGCTTGTTGGCTTCTTGGGTCTTATGCCGCCTTCGCTCTCTCTCAACTCTGCTCCCATCTACACAGAACATTATCTACACCATTTCAGAAAATTGCTTAAACTTCTTCTACTTCTGGTTTCTCCATATGTAAAAAGCAGGAAGAGGTAATAAAGTGGGTACTTTTGTAGATAAAACACTTGGACTGTTACACACACAAAATAATCACAATAAAGAAAGAATTACTGGGATTCTTAAGCATTTCAAGGGCTGTAAGAATTTGGCCCCTAAATTTCTGTTGCTGTTCTTACTTGGATGATTGCTCTTAGGCTGATCACAAAGAGTTCTCACATGTGTACAAATTTAAAGGGCTGTTTTATAGATCAAAAATACATACTCAATTACTTCAAGTAACATTTGGGGAACTGCATCTGAATAGCACATAAAATTGTTCAATGAATCAAAGTCAAAGTTGCTTTCAAAATCAGAAATCTGGAGGTAACTATAATCCATACACACTTTCAAGGGAAAGCTACTTACTGGAGAGTAGTTTTCGTCTACATCGTAAATAAAGCAGAGGTTTTATACAAAGCCGCTTCAAACATGCATCTGCACCGATTCTGCTAAGAACGGTAGTGTCCTGGGACAATCAACGTAGTCCGAGTCCATATTGTCTTGATTTGCATTACAGTATGCTTGTACTACATAAACACTTATCAAGCAGCTTATCTTCCACTGTAGATGTTTCCAGCAAGCTGACTAAAGCTGGACATACAACAAGATGCAAGTCAAGGGTATGACGCTACTAAGTCATAGTAACTCCATGAAGGAGCTTCATCAAGTTGGAATTTTCCCTTGCCATCTATATTGTTATTATCAAGGTCTTTGTAATGTATATAGAATGCATTTTTACCATTTATATATGCTATGATTAAATACATATATATCAGTTGATACATACCAAGTTTTCTTCATTGAAGTCAATTTTAATGCTTCTGCTAATTTATGTAAAGTACCTTAAAAATTGGTTCCTACAAGATGACCAAGTACCAGGTGATTTGGTGGTTGCAAGGCGCACAGCTTTTCCATCATGCTCATAGACRAATTTGTTGATACTTCAGTCTATAAAGCTAAATAAAGAAATGAAGATGTATACTGCTGTGAGACAGGAGGCATTGATTTTTTTTTCAACTACTGCATTATGAGACTGCATTAAAAGCAACGAAACCCAGCAGCTGAATATAACGCGGAAATACAATTCAGTCAGTATAKAATAAAATAAATATTAGTACTGTCATCCACTATAATTACAAACCATGCCAATCACCCTGCACAGAGCAGAGCTTCCTTAACACAATTTTGACTTCTTGACCGTTGAAGACTGACAATTGCTTCCAAAGGCAAATGAATCTAGAAGTGTGCTTTCCACTGTGTACTTTCTATCATGAATCCCCAGTTTAAATGGACTATTTGACTGGACTTATTACTTTTAATAATTCACTTCCAAGTGATGCATATCTTGGCTGGGAGCAAAAAGCACTTTTTCCCCTAAGGATTCTTTGAGCCCTAACTTCACTTCAAAAATATCTCAATACCTTGCGCCAGAAAATAATGGATAATGCTAGGCCAATTACACTGGCAAATGGGGCTTTATATCACATTTCCCACCCTGCCTTTTCATGCATCTATGCACAGAATGAGTTCCTCATACACATATGCAAAGACAATGTATTACCCTCTAAATTTCTCCCTCATGGCAAGAGCCTTTCATAATGTCTGTTTAAGCTAAGCAACAGCTAAGCAGCTTGGATACTCTCCTGGTCACACAGTTCAGAACTTCCTTAATTTAAGCTATAACATATTTTCTTTCCTGACCCAAACCTCTTCTTTATACTTTTGTGCACCTGTTACTTGAATAATTTACTATTTATGGTAAGTACAATCATATATTTGCACAGTGCCAGCCGCAAAAATTTAAAATCTGTGAATACTATCAACACCAATAGTATCAACAGTAGAAGAAGTAGCAGAAATAAGTATGATACTAATTCCATCACACAAAAATATCAAAATCCTCTTTTAGTGGATGGGCTATTGCAACAAAAAAAAGGAACAATTTTCAGAGATGCTTAGTGACATAGAGAGAAACACAAACATTCATTTACAGAGTTCTGAAATACTAGGTAAATGTTCTGGTTTTATGTAAGAAAAACCTAACTCTTACCCTAAATGCCCCAGGTCACTGGATTCCTTGGGAGGAATCTTAATGTACGAACTGTATTTTTGCCTGAAGGCAAAAGGCAGCTTTGTCACAGTAGGTTATCCCACCTACTTAGCGCGAGACTGCTGCGCCTTTGGAAAACCCTGCGCAGCCARAGACCAAAGAATTACATGGTGCACAGTGGGCAACCGAGGAGAAACAGCACGAGCTGGGGGACAGCCAGGGTCTGAAGGACTGCGCAGGCACCATCTCTACAGACACACTATGGTGCTCAGGAGGACAGCTAGAGAGGGATGACACTGGGGTACATTTCCACACAAACTGTATACATTTCAAACAAACACACCAACCAAATCAGAAATATTTGTGGATGAGAAAKATCTCAAGCTCTTGGAGCATATACACCAAACATTTTTGTATATATATATTTATATAATTATTTGCTCAATGATACATCAATACTGCTTGACAGAATCAAGAATTAAAYGCAGATCTCATGACTCACAGACCAGCACATTAACAAAGAATAGGTTGTTTACTGGTTATCTCCCATCTAACAGAGTAAAAAATGCGAACACTTCAGGGAATATGCTATGAGTTAAGTGGGGAGAAATTCTGTTCTTTTAGTTTAGAATGTAACAAATTCAGCAACAACTATGAATTCAAATGCTTTCAAGCCTATTGTRTGAAATTCYTCTACTGCAGAAAGCTTACACAAARCTATAGACTCTTAAAGTTTAAAGTTTAAGTTGTACCTTTTATGTTYACACCTCAAGAGAAGCAGAGGAGCTCTACAAACCCCATCCCTGAGTAAGTTCTCTCTCAGACCAATCTCTTGTAGCAGATAAAGTAACTTACTTGTATATGATCTAACTATTTAGGACAGAAAAATTTAATTAATAGTTTTGATATAAAGCAGATTTGTAACCTTCATATCAAATATTTCCTGTTGCATCCAGYGACATAGCCGGACCACTGACAAGTGGCTTTATAATCTAGACACTGTTCTTTTCAGGCATCGCATGTCAAAACTCAGCAAAACATTGTGGCGTAACCCTATGACTTCCATGCAGAAATTCATGCTTTATTGTGATCTGAAAGCTTAAATTGCTCCTCTGGTTAAAGCAGACAACAGTGCTATCTTTATCAAACTGCTGGATGCTTCATCCGATTGCCTGAGTCATTGGCAAAATAGCTTGAGGCTAGACAGGTATATTACTCTTTAGAAACAGATGGTGATGCACACAGGAGGCTTCAGAAACACAGACATTCTCAACATAGTAACAGATTTCTCTAACRCGAGCTGTCCCATTTATTACAGTTTATACAAAATTTTTGCTCTTACCTCTATTACCCTGCCGTTAAAAGTACTTGGAAATAGGCATCAGCACAAGGAGTTTTATTTTCTGAGAACCACCGTCAACACAGAAGAGCTATTCATTCCTTCTTGTGTAGTACACATTTTGGCAGAGACAACTAACGCAGGAAATTAATGTTGAAGATTAGCATTAGATAAGGATGTTTTTGGCAAATGGGCCTGAAACACCATAGTTCTCTGGAAAAAAGATACAGCAGTTAATGTTATTTGGGGTATTAATAGCTTAGAGAGGAGGGAAGCAAAAGAAATGCAGGACTATTGCAACCATTTTCTAAAGATTATCTTCCTGTTTCATCTGCATTTTCCTCATAGTAATAACTGAATAGCTATTAAAGTTATATCAATATTTCTTTCCAATCCATCTCACAAAAAGTCAATGTACTCTAACATATAGCATTCACTTTCACATTCTCAACATTTCTGAGCAYAGTGCTCAAGTTAGAAACTAAACCTATTCTTCACTTTTCATAATTGCAAATAAATTCTTTGTAGAAAGGTCTGCAGAAGGCGGAGGTCACAAGAGAGATAGTAAATAGACCTACCATTTCCATATGTTTTCACTTGGGATTTTTATAGATGAGAACTTGACAGAGAAGGGAAAATAAATAAGTATCAATTTCCTCTTTGCAGGAGTTACATAGCATAAGCACATAAAAGTATCTAATACRACTTTAAAAGAAATCATTTCTATGCTAAAACACAGCAAAAAGACAATATCCACATTCTCAGTACAATCACCTGTCAGAATAAGTCAACAGTACATACCAGGTTTGGTAAATACTTGAGGTTAATTCTTAACCTTAGTACTGCAGGTTTTTGCTGTGCTTTGGGGTTCATGGAAAACTTGTCCAGTACTGTTTTACAGAAGAAAATGAAGAGATGTTGCAGGTTCAACTATAATAATTCTTTTTTTTTGGGAGATGAAATTCTAATTGGACACTTTTTTGTTTAAGAGAAAGAATACTACAGCATTTCCATGAGAACTTTGTGTTAGTGCTAGTAATAAATCTATTTAGGGACTAAGTATTTGCTGTTTTTTCTTTCTTTTCTTCTTTTGCCTAGAGTTTTCAAGCACTATGAGTTTAATGCATCGACCATGTTTACAAAAGATGAAAGAAAAAGCAAAGGGGAAACGAGTAAATTTGTGGTAGTAAGTGGCAGATATTCCTCACTATTGAGTTAAACAGAATTAAAACAAGTAAAAGGAATTTAGGAAATTGCTCCCAAGACTGAAATGATGACATTTCATTACCAAGATAGCCACAGAAGGCATCAAATAACCCAGTAATTTATCAAGATCTGGAGACCTAAAAGGAAAAAAAGCTGCCTCTGCTGCGTGACTGATTTTGTGTTCAACTAAGTCAGGATGTGCTTGCTTGTTTATGACCTTTTTTAGAACCAACAAGGTACTCATCTATTCTTCAGGAAACAGAAGATAAAYAGTGTTAAGTATTACAGCTAAGAATAGACTGACTCATCTTTTACTTTATGGGTGACATCATTCCTCCAGCTGCTCAGCACGGAGGAGGTCAGTTGGTGATAATCCCTGCCAAATGGGTCCAAAAAGCACAGATGAGGAGTGGAGCTGACACATCACCATAATCTTCTTCACTCTGAGATTGTGGACTCTTTGGGATGAGCACAGCATGCCCCAGGATTTCACATATTTTCAGGGGAAGTGTCTAGCCAGAAGGAAATGGAGCCAGACAGCAGCCACTCTTGGTGGCATTTTTCCATGGCAAACAGGAAGATAATCCACCAGAAAACCCACTGGAAGCRCCGACTGGAGATGTATCACCCCTTGCTTGTTGGCTCTGCTCACATTACTGAGTTCATCGTGCATATGCATGGAGAGGGAACGAGCAATTAAAGCGAGGCCACTAATGCCATCCTGGCTCAGGACTGCATTTTCCTGCCAGGGAGAGAAGCCAGGTAGCAGCAGGAAGTGCCCAGACCTCTCTAATATTACCCCAAAATTTGCAAGGTGGYAATGAAGATTCGCTGCAGATCCTTATGTTAGAGATAAGTACGGACACCCTCTGTGGCTCCCTGGCCACATTTAAGGATTTGTGGCACGTTGCTTTCACCCATCCAGCTAAGATGAAAGCTGTTAGATATATTGTTTGCCACGAGGTACAGAAGGGAGCAGGGATGAATCTTGGTACTGTCTGATAATACACTACTGCTTGTGCCTGCGTGCAGCAATTTGGGAACTAATTTTTGTCAAGAAGATGCAAGAGGAATAGCCTAAATCCATGCTCATCAAACATTTTGAGAAACTGTGCTCAACCAAACTTTGGAATACATACATCCCATATACAGAAATGCTTACAGATTCTTACACAAACTTCACTCAGTTTCAGGGACGTATTGTACTTTTACTGGTCTTCACATCAGAGTCTTAAAATTGATCTTTTTTTTAAAATACTCCTGATTCACAAGTCGCTAACTTTTCAATAGTCAGCTAAGACTGAGATATTTCCTCCCTTGAGCTCAGCATAGAGTGCAGTGAGGAAACAGGAAAAAAAGACAGTAACAGAGAATAATAAACAAGTAAGCTTTAAATAAAGTGTTCGATAGAGGAGAGTCATTTAATTGCAGCTACCATTCAGCTAGCAGATAATTGTATAGGTACTATGTGATCAGCACAGGGAAAAAATGTAAATTTATTCATCTCTTCTAACCAAGAAATAATATCCTGATTAATTTTAGGCCATCTTCATTGTTCAATAATAGTCTGAACAAATAAGCTCACAATTAAATCCTGGGTGGAAGGCAGCAGACAGCTAAGATAGTTGGAGGATAGTGAAATCTATAAGAAGTCTTCCTCGGGGATTTTTGATTAGTAAGGTGGTATTTAGTGCTTGCAGAGGATTTAAAAACATTCCAGTAGACAAGTGAATAGAAAACACCTACCTAAGCTTTCCCCCCCCACCCCTTCTCTTTACAATAGACAAAAAGCTTCCTGGTGTGGGAAGCTAACATTTCAACAGAAAATTAGAAATATACATCAAAACCATAAAAACAACTGTGGCTTCTTTATATTTAAGTACTCATTTATCCAGCACATCTGAAATTACTGAGGCAAGCATAATGCCACATCTATTTCTACTGAGTAGTGCTTTGCTCCACAAAGTTTCCTATCAAAATTAATCTAGCATCTTGCGTATGGGCAACACACGCTAGAGGTGAACACCTTGATCAACAAATCTAAAATGCCACAGTGACAAAGACCTTTGCACTCAGTGTTTAAATTGGAGGGGTCTGAGGACCAGCTGCTTCATACTCTGCTCTATCAATGTCTGTTCTCACCACTCCATAGCAAACCTAAGATCCAAAACGAAAAAGCAATATCTAGTAAGATCGCAGGTAACACTAATAACATCTGAGGTCCCTGATACCTCAGAAACCTTGTTAAATAAAAATAGAAATGATAAACCAGCTTGTCCCCAGATCTGAAGATAAACTTAATCCCAAACAAGTGGGCAAGACTAAGACATTTTTCCATTTGATAAACAGGTAAGAGAGCCTGGTTTCCTGTAATGAAAAAGCTAAGTTAATGCAAACCAGAATCTACTGTACAAATATACACAGAACAGAAAATCACAGTTGCGTAAAATTGATCATTTCAACACCCCTGTGAAAGAGGAAGAGAGCAGGTGGTGGTCACTCAACTCCTTAGACAGAGGCAATGCCTCTGTGCAGCAGAAGGCAAAAAGCCACCTTTCCCTGCATTTGCAGTAGGCATTTTGTCAGTATTTTCTGTTATTACTTTCATCCCATCCTTTCCCAACTTTAGTTCCTCAGTCTGTCACCTCCCTAGCACCAGAAGTCAACRTCCCTCTCTAATGAGCTCTTCAGTGAATTCTTACAACTTACCTGGCTGTGAGGAAATAGATTCTCCTTTGCTTTAAGTGCAATACTTCTGGGCCCGATTCTCTACCTTCTACACATGATAATCAGAGTTCTGATATGAGGAAAAGAAAAGCTAACTCCTTTCCTTCCATTCCACAACAAAGGAAAATGAACTATGCTAGCTTTTTCCTGTGACCTACAAGCCTGTGGGTAGCAYTCATAAGAGTAAGATATCTACCTGCAAGCTAGACAAGCATTAACATCACCAGGCTTCACAGTGGTGTTCTTCCCAAACTACTTTTCCCCCTTGCCCATGTCCTTCTCCAATTTCAGTCATGCTAGTCAAGTTAGAGATTTTATACAAGACATACCAGGGTGATTCTTGTGCTATTTGACCTAATCCTTACACAAAGATTCTGCGCTCCACGTGTGCACACACCAGCCACTCTTTTGGCTTAATTCTGTAGTCCTAGTTTACAATAACATCTTATGCTGTATTGATCAGCCCCACAGTCTGTTCAGTTATATCTACTGAGAGGAACTAGTAACTCATAGAACTGTTTTGAGATGTTTTCTCCAGGCAGTGCCATATTATTCTTCATTTGTTAATTACGAACGCAGTTGCACTGAACTACTAGTACAAAACTTCATTACCATACGTTTGAAAAGAAAGCCCAATGAGACAGGCAGGCAGCATAAAACTCACAGCATTGCAATCATTTTGGACTCCTACAGGTATGTTATCATCTTATATAGAAATCAGAAGTTCTCATTCAGCACTTTGTGGACTATTTTTTCCTTTGTTCCTTCACCTAGGAATAATCCTAGTCCCAAAATTTGTTGGGGACACATCCATCTCACTCCTCCAAAATTTCTTAGAGTAGGTTACAAAGTGTCTCCATTCCATACGGCAAAGCTCTGCTTTCCTCAAGACTCAGATGTCTTTCTTCAGAGACTGAAAAAACAGCCTATATGTTTATGGATCATGTTTTAAATTTATGGCTCAAAAGGGTTCTGAGGGCCATGCGGCTGCTATGACCGTACCTGCTATAGGGTAAGTGCTCTTTGTCTACTGAAAAGTTTAGATACTGCAGCTCAGCTTCATAAATAGGAAGGCTTGCTGCTTTATGTGAACTCCCTCTGCCTCCCTATACCAATTTAAAAGTATCTTTTCTAGTGCTGACATGTTCAACATTGCTTTTACCTCTTGTAGGAATCTTGTCAATTCTCACTACAATGTGGCAATACAGTTTAAAAGATTTTTTTCCATTGCTCTTTAGAAATTTCAGGGTGTATAGCAAAGCTTTGTATGGCAC